CCTCCCTCCGCCTCCTCCGGCGACTGAAGGAGCTCCATGACGCTCTCGAAGACCTTCTGGAAGAGGGCGTCGGGCGGGGCGGCGCCGTCAAGGAACTGCACGCCCTCGACGTCCGCCGCGACCTCCTTCAGGTAGCTCTCGTAGGCGGGCCACACGCACGCCTCGAAGTACTCGCCGCTGCCCATGCCCGACGTCGAGAAGGCCCTCCGACCGCGCCGCGCCCGGCACTGCTCCTTCGTCAGCGTGAGGAAGAAGCGCAGGTCGCACGCCGTCGCGAGGAAGCCGTGGCCGAAGAGCAGGAAGCCCTCGAGGAGCAGCACCGGCGGCAGAGCCTCCGCCTCGCGCCGCCGCCCGACGAAGGGGTTCGGGGCCGTGAGCGCCGACCCGACGAAGGCCCTCCGCTCGGCCAGGAAGGGCGCGTCCTCGGGCTCGAGCGCCGGCGCCTCCGCCGCCAGGAACCGCCGCACGTCCGCCTCCATCCTGGCGGCGTCCACGCTGCGGAGGGTGTCCTTGTTGAGGCCCGGCAGCGGGGGCGGCGCCGGCGGGTGGGCGGGGTGGGCGTCGGGCAGGATGTACTGGTCCTGGCTCAGGTAGGCCGCCGTCGTCGGCAGCGCGGACAGCAGCCGCCGCGCCAGCGTGGTCTTGCCGCCGCCCGACACGCCCGAGATGCCCACCAGTCTCCAGCGCCGCGGCCGGGGCGTCGCGGGGGGGCGCGGCTCAGGGGCAGCCATGGGATTAGGACCTGAAGGACTAGGAAAGGAAGGCTCAGTATGGACACGCACGCACACGTACACATAAGCATACCAATCTGCACTTGGCCCTCTGTGGATCCTCTCTCCTTCCCACGCGGCCGTCCTTGCCCTGGCGAGGTCCTCCTGCCTCCGCCACCGCCTCCAGCTCGGCCTCGAGCAGGACGCCAGCCCTTAGTGGAGGACCACAAAGACCCTTATAGGATCTACCACACACACACACGCACACACACACACGCACACACACAACATACATACAGACATATACCCACCCATTGTCTCGTCATTTCGAGTTTACACATCATTAGCAGCAAAGGACAGATAGCCTCTATGCAAATTCATATTTATCTAGAACTTTGGGACTTGAAAAAGTGCAGTTTACAAAACTCTTCTGTGTACCTAATTACATAATGTTTAACTTTATTATCATTATAAGGCCAACTCACTGTAGATTGTGCATACATTAAGCTGTAGGAAGTGATTGCTTCTCATTAAACCATTCAGTCAAGGAAAAAAGTAATATTTTTTCATGATTTGTAGTTCTATCATCAAGTGTACTTTTCATAAAATCTTTAATCATAAAAGATTATAAACCCGATTAAAAAATATTTTTTTTTCTCTTAATTTCTAACGAATTTTGAATAATTTACTCTAAGAACTGTAGTCAGTAGGTTATGCATATATAAACTCATGTATTTGTATGTATGGTATACGTGTCTGTATACGTGTATATGTGCACGTGCATGCATGGGTGTGTGTACATGTGTGCGTAAAAGTACGTGTAAGTAAGTATGTGTGTATGTGTGTGTGTGTTTGTGTGTGTGTAGCCGCTGGTATATCATGTACTTCATATCAGCAGCTGGTATATCATATATTTCGTTTATCACGTATTCTGTAACAATACGGAGAGGCCTGTATGGTATAAATTTATCTTCTGTGTCATAACCGCTGGGAAGGCGACGGCGAGTACCACCGGGTCAACACATGGTCTGTATCAGCCGTAAGAGCTGACCTGTCAAGAAACGTGTTTGTGTGAGGGGTCGTGCCATAGGAAGTGGTGACGGCTCTTCTGACCTGTCAAGAAACGTGTTTGTGTGAGGGGTCGTGCCATAGGAAGTGGTGACGGCTCTTCAGATGATCGATGCTGTGAGATAGCAAGACCGCGACCTAACTAATGTATAACATGTGAAGTAGAATGTTACTTGGCGTCGTAGCCTGTGTATGTTTATAGTGTGAGGGCAGTTCGAGGGGAACCTCTGTGCCGTCGAGACGCCCATACCATTCTGGAATCAGACCAATAAGCTGATATTCTGACTGTTCCCGCAATGCGTATGTATCCAATATTTGTAGGAAGTTCTTATTATATAATCTAATGTCTAACGTGTGCTGATATTTAGTGGCTTTGTATATTGTGTGCATTTGTACAATCGATGTATTATTTAACAGGTTTGACCGCTACTGAATAAACCTTGAGCGAGTGCTACGCAGTGGTATCAGTCACCCCAGACCCATCGACGAAATCATAGGCGTGCTCCGGCGGCCACAGTGTGTATGTGTGTGTGTGTGTGTGTGTGTGTGTGTGTGTGTGTGTGTGTGTGTGTGTGTGTGTGTGTGTGTGTGTGTGTGTGTGTGTGTGTGTTTGTGTGTGTGTGTGTGTGTGTTTGTGTGTGTTTGTGTGTGTGTTCGTATATGTGTACATATCTTGTGTGTAAGTATGCGTGTGTACACATCTTATATAAACCATGTGTATG